CGGTAATTAATTAATATTTTTATCAATTTGTAATGAGAGAAATTCTAAAAAATTTGTTAACAATAACCTACTTTGTTGGAAAATCAATTTTTATGAAAAATTCCAACGGGAATGAATTCTTCTAAGTGTTTAGAATACACCGTAATTTTTTTTAAATTTTAAATTTAATTTTATTAACTTAAAAAAATTATTTTATGTAACGTACTCGATTTCGACGCCGTCCGCGTAACATAAAAATGGGGCGCGGAAGGCTACTTTGAGCGTTAAATTAAAATTATAAATAATGGAGGTACAGTTCCGGGAGTCCGAACTTATTTATAGCAAATTTCTTCCTCTTTAAGGATATTTTTCGAAAAATCCAAAAATATTTATAGTTTACAAACTATAGGCGAAAAACCAAACACCATATTTTTGAGGTGTTTAATTGTTTATAACTTTTGCAATTTTTTATGCACTGCAAAATTTTTCTTCGCACATTGATCTAGACATTATTCCGAATTCGAATGAGCTATTGAACATAATTTTCCTAATAGTATGTCCCAAAAACACGCTTTTAAACTTGTTGATTAGACTATCTCGTTTAACTCTCGTTTGAATTCATGGCTGCTAATCACGAATCTCTAATATTTAAAAAAATATCGGAGTAATTTTTCTCTTTGGTAATAACGTTAAAATTAAATATGATAATCGTCAAATTTTAATTGAGGTCCATCCTCGCAGTATAAATCCAGGTAACCTTTGTTGGGACCCAATCGGGGGTCTGGAGGACTTTGAAACCGACCACGTTCCGTTGATCCGAAAGCTTCATTGAAGTCCGGAAGCGGTTTCGAAGATGGCTTCTTGGAAGCAGAAGAAAAGGAAGAAGTACGAGTAGAACCTGTCGCTGGATTGGGCTGCTGACATATTAAAATTTATATTTTGAGTTGTCGATTGTAGAAAAAGAGATGAATATAGTATGTTTCATAAAATTAATACGATTCTTCTTTAGACGTGACAATGTAATATTTATAAATTATATAGACGAAAAATTCCGTCTATAATTTGGTACATTTGTTTGGATGCTAAGATTTTGAAAATTTTCGTACCTATACATATTATACAATGTTTTGTTGCTTTATTCAAATCTAAAGGAGCAAATGAGAATTCAATAACAATATTCACAGCTTCAAAACAAATGCATTGCGACCTCTTTTTGTGCAGCTCCAACATTCCTCCTTAGTTTTTTTGAGCACTTTATATAAATAGAACTTACATTAGTAGATGTGATTGGCCGGTTCTGGAAATGATAAAGAGGTACAGAGAGAGGCAACTGGGTAATTAGTAATTATCCTAAGTACCCCCCACCCTTCGCGCAATTAGCAAGTACCTCCCAATTACATCATGTACTGTAATAAGTGCAATTGCAGAGTAAGTACCTCCCAATTACCATGTACACGCCATTTGGGTAATTAGTAATTACCCAATTGCCTCTCTCTGTACCTCTTTATCATTTCCAGAACCGGCCAATCACATCTACTTACATTGTTCGACTATTAATAATTTTTGGCCCTTTTCACTAATACTTTCCGTAATCTCCATCTCTTGTCAACTTTATCAAAATAACTGAACTTTATTAAAATGCACAGGTGAAAGAATAGCAAATACTAATAACATTATCTACATTTTCGAGCTATAAACAAATTCAAAAAATATAAAACATTATATTATCCAAAAATTCTTAATAAAAGAAAGTCTACAAAGTAGTTTAAGGGATAATTTGGTTGGCTTAAAAATTATATACCTAGTTTACCCACTTAAGAAAATATTAATAATCTTAATTCCTTTATTAATTTAGCCATTTATTGCCAGTCATCTCCATATTTTAAAAATAATTTTTAATTTAAAATACATTTTAAATTTTATCTTCTCAGAAATATTATCTACAGCAGTGGTCGCCAACCTGTCGATCGCGAGCTACCAGTAGCTCGCGGAGGCAATTCTGGTAGCTCTCACAACGATTTTAATTTAAAAAATACTGCAAAAATTAGAGAAGCATCCGAAAATTCCACAAAAAAATCTAATTGTCATAATATTAAACATAAACAGCGGCAACGTTGCGGTGAGCGATCTGCCGTTGACGCCATCAAGCTAGAATCGGCTAGAACCGACCAGCCGGACCAGCGCGTTAGTGTTCGAGAACGATCAGGATTGCTTTGAACGGGAAAAATACGCACGGCGCGGCGGCATTGCGCTTAGTTTAAAACTGAACGCGTAACCAACGTCCAGCGGTTGGGTTAGTAGAGAACAACAAAAAATAATATTATGGCAAGCAGTTGTAAGAAGGTACAGACATACCACTTTCATTCGGAATGGGAAGAACAATACTTTTTACAGAAGTTAAAGATAAAAATGTGTGTTTGTTATGTAATACTTCGGTCTCCGTTGCTAAAAAAGGAAATATTGAGAGACATCATAAAACTGTACATTCTAATTTTGAAAAATCATTCCCACTACATTCTGTCGCCAGAAAGGAGAAACTGAAACAGTTAAAAAAGGAGTTAATTGGACAACAATCAATATTTTTAAGAACAGTCGACAAAAATAAGGCTGTAACTGAAGCATCGTACCGTGTGTCCCAGATAATTGCACAAAAAAACCTTATGAAGACGGGGAAATGATAAAACAGGCGTTTTTAGAAGCTGCTGATTCGTTTTTGTCAACTTTAGAAATAAAGACGAGATAGTTTCAGCTATAAAATCTATGCAACTTTCTGCTAATACAGTGATGAGACGTGTAGAAGTAATGAGCAATGATATTTTTTTACAGTTAAGAACTGACTTAGATAACTGTGTTTATTTTTCACTTCAACTAGATGAATCAACAGATGTCGTTGACACTGCCCAGATGGCCGTGTTCGTCAGGATGGTTTTTAGTGATTTTACGATTAAAGAAGATCTTTTGAAGTTTATTCCACTGAAAGGACATATTAATGGACAGGAGTTGTTTTCTCATTTAAAAAATATTATTTCTTCCGAGAAAATTCCAATATCGAAAATGGTAGGCTTGACAACCAATGGCGCTCCAGCTATGGTGGGTTGTGATAAGGGTCTGGTGGCGTTATGTCGTAAAGATGAAACTTTTCCGCAATTTCTCTGTTACCACTGCATTATCCATCAGCAAACATTATGTGGAAATTTCCTGAAACTAAACAACGTTATGAAACTGGTGGTAAAAATTGTGAACAAGATTAGAGCTCAAGCGTTACAAAGATTATTCAAAACCTTGGCCGATGAAGTTGACTGTCAATACGGGGACCTACTCCTTCACTCTGAAGTCCGATGGTTAAGTAGAGGACGGGTGCTGAAACGTTTTAATGATGTCTTATCTGGCATAGTTCAACAACGCGATGAACCGACTCCGGAACTAGAAAATTCAATCTGGCTTAGAGATGTTGGTTTTCTCGTATTATATATGTAGTATTACATTTTTTTTTTATATTTGTCATTTTAATAAAATTTGTTTGTACCCATACACAGGCTTGACCTTCTGTGGGTTTCATATATTTATTAATTATTATATGTATCAATAATTATTGTATGTTGATGTAAACTTTTTAGATTAATAAATATTATTATTATTATTATTATTATTATTATTATTATTATTATTATTATTATTATTATTATTATAATTATTATTATTATTATTATTATTATTATTATTATTATTACAGAGAAATTAAACGAACTTAATTTGCAGCTTCAGGGGAGAGACAAAGAACTAGCGAAAATGATTTCTGATATAAAAGCTTTTATCAAAAAGCTGGAGTTTTGGGAACAAAACCTAATTAACAGCGATGCCAAGCGTTTTCCTATTCTTTCAGAAAAAATATCTTAAAATCCATTAGAACCCTATGACAGCAAATATCATGTAGAAATAGTTTCTACCCTGAAGAATAACTTCAAAAATCGTTTTAAGTATTTCAACGAAATGGCTTTAGTAGCGCAGTTTGTTGTTTCGCCCTTTATGGAAATTGATATCCAACAGTTTGCAACTTGTGTTATGCAGAACTTTGGCGAAGACATCGCTGCAACAGAAATGGAAGTAATTGAATTTCAAAATGATTTAGCCTTAAAATCGTTAGTCTCAATTACCAAATGTATCTGGCCTATTGTAAGTAAAGACAAATATTCAGTTCTATGCCGTGTTGCCTTGAAAGTGAAAGCATTATTCAGTTCAACCTATTTGTGTGAATTTTCTTTTTCCAATATGAAGTTTATTAAGAACAAATATCGCAATCGACTTACAGATGAACATTTGGATAATTGTATTCGAATGGCTGTATCAAATTATACTGCAAACATTAAAAAAATTATCGATGAGTCTGAGTATCAGCCTTCTCATTGAACATGCTTTTTTATTTTTCAATGTTTATGTTCATGATAGTGCGTTACTTTTTTGTTGTTATTATTAACTATTTTTTAATCTTACGTGACATGCCGTTGTGGCTGGATAAAACTTTGTGTTTATTTTTCAAACATCTTCGTTTGGTAGGTAGGTATGTAGCTATGAACAAGTACGTAGTAGTAATATTAGTTATTTTGTTATTAGTTTATTATTAGTACCTATGTATTATGTATTACCAGTTAAATAGTAAAATAAATACATATAATGATAAATTAACTGTGGATTATTTCATTTACGTTGCGTTATGTGGTTTCCGTGTGGGTAGCTAGCTGTTTATTCCAAAATTAACAAAGTAGCTCAACACATTGAGAAGTTGGCGACCACTGATCTACAGGTTTCAAAAATGTTTTTTAAGGAACGCCTATGTATACTTAAAATTGTACCTTCATTTGAACTGCAATTAGTCTGTTTTTGCACTTGGTCGGTAACTTAAAACTTTAGACTGCAATTCGGCATTTGTAAAAATTTAGACTGCAGTTTACCGGCACCGTTAATAAGAACTGTACACAAAAAGATTCTATGATATATCGGAATAAACCTATTAAGATAATTACCCTTTTCATTTTCATATCTTCCAATTTCTCAAATTCCTGTCTATGATTTTGTTGCTGGTGATTGACATTCACACTTGGCCCATACACGTGATTACCGTATTCGCTTTGGTGCTGGATATTATTCTCCATGAGAGGCTGCGTGGATTCCATCTGGTGTTTCGATTCTCCATCGTCAGATCCAACTTTTTCTTTCAAATGGAATTGGTCGTCAGGAGGAATATTCTCGTTTGAATGCGGTGGCGTCATCGACATTATTGAACTCGAATGTGGAGGTGTCATTGGCATAGGAATAGAATTTATGGAGTGGATGGGATGACTTATTGGTGTATGGCGGTGCTGATCCAACATCATTGGACTGGGTATGCTGAGCGGCGGAGATGGCTGGTGATGATGGTAAGGTGATTGGATGTCTTGCATCATGTAAGGGTTACCTGAAAACAATAAAAATAAACGTTCTGTTCTGATCTATGATTTGAGTGCTCTAGATGCATAATATTTGAAAGATCATTTTGAGATAATCAAAAAAAACTTTTTTCGTTATAAATTTTTCACAAATCGCCTCAAAATTTTGAAGAGACTTTGATAAAAATTCCCTTTCTTAGATCCCATTGTATTTTAAAAATATAACAAGCACATTTTGAATTAATTAAGAAAAACCAGCATTTGGCGAGATTTGCTACCAACTAAAACTAAAAAAACCATTTTTCAACAAAATTAATTGTCAAAAATACAAAAAAAAAAATCATTTGTATTGGTAAATTAATTTCATAGTCTATTTTAATTTTTTATAACAAAACACACAACGTACTATCACAGCTTATACAATACAGCTCCACAACTCCGTGTCGGCGTCTTTGATCTGGCGGTCGAGAACCAAGCAAGACGGAATGGTGCTATCTCTGTTAGATTCGAGGGAAAAGTCGGGCCCGGATTAAACAATTTTTTTATTATTGAAAAAATTGAAAACCTTGGCGTAATAAGGTTGGTTACATGCCATATTAAGTAAGTTTTGGGAAATTAAATTTTTAATTTGTTTTAAATCTGTCAAATATAATTAGAAACATTATTTAAATATAAATATTACGAAAAATAGCACATCTTTCGGATTAGAGGTAAAATAATTTGTATGTGGCTAGTAAATCCTCGTTAACAAATGTTTTGAGCTAAAACAGTCACTTCACGACAAATTGTGGCTTGGATCCTTTTTACACCAAGGGCTTCAATTGTTAAAGAATTGTGTCACGCTCGTGGATGCAAATCAAGTGGCAAGTGTTACTCTTCGCGCAAAGGGTTTATACCTAGATAAACGAATGCTTCGACTGAGGTCTGGGAACTCTATGGTATTTTGGAATTATAAAGAATTTGTGCTTTTATTTTAACAATATTGGTTATATTTAGATGTATTCTTATTAATTGAAATACAGATTTGTAGAAGTAATACTTTGACAGTTTTTATTAATATAATATATTCAATTTTTATCTGACCATGCCGAAGTAGGGAATTTTGAAACTTTATAGTAATGTGAAATTTGAATTACAATATTACACGATATTACATAATTAGTACTTATTTTAGGTAGGTACTAAATTTGTACTTGGAGAAAGTAATATCGATTTTTATAAAAAAACTTGAAAAGTAAATTAATTTAGTTCCTATTTCTGATGTAAAACTTAAGTTTTGGTTTAAACCAAGAAAACAAATAAATTATAGTTTGTTCAACAAGGGTGGATATGATAGCAATATCACACAAAGACGAAGTTTGAGCACGACGTCGTATGCGGAGTACTCAATCGTCTGATTGTGATATGAACAATCCACTCGATATAGTCAGTATATTTTTTTTACGACCCACTAACGAAAATCTACAAATTTAAAAAATTATTTTAGGTTATTTAGAGAAAATAACTAATTTTAAAATAATTTACGAAGTTGACTAATTTATAAAATAAAATTAACATGAAAAATTAATTAGGCCTCGGCCTAGATTCGATCCCGGGCTTTTCGCGTGGAAGGCAGATGCTCTGTCCTCATCTTCACCGAAACTTTCAGGACTTTAGTTTTAATACTCGTAATTAAATTAATTAATTAATTCTAAAAGTGTGGTACAAATGTTATTTTTTGTAGCCAATTCTTCAAAATTAATTTGAAATATCTTTTCAATATTGAATATTAATTCTACAAATTCATCATTTGACAGTTGCAGATTTCCAAATGTATCTGGATTGGCGTTATCATATGCCTTTAAAAAGCAATAAAAAGAAAAATCATCTAATTCAACGTGATCTTTGTTATATTTAAGACAGGTATCGCAGAGGAGTGGATCCGCAAGGCTTTTATTAAAAGGTAACCACACACATACCTTATAAAATTTTTCTGTATCAATTCGTCTTTACAATAATTTAGGGTGTTAATAATTTTATCATAAAATAAAATACAAGGTGTTCCATTTAAAAAGCATACATTTTAATTTGCCAGGCAAAAACGTGACACACTATATATCCAAAGATATTTTTAAAATATGTAGGTAATTTTCAAATCCATATAACTTTTGTTTAAAACTTTCTTGCGTGTCTACAACAAAATAATGAACAATAACGCACTAATGGGATACCCTGTATAAATTATATTTTTAACAATGAAAATTTCTTATAATGTAAAACTTATCGGTTTGGGTCCTTGGGAAAACTAAAGAATGTTTTCTTGCAGGTATAACCCTTATTAAAACAGCTTTTGACTGCACAAACAGAATGATGTCTTTTTTTTTCACTCATTCTACTCATAGCTAAAGAGTCACCAAAATAATAACAGTACCTTTAACTCAAACAAAATCAACGAAATTATAAGCTCCACGAAATTATACAATCAACGAAATTATAGGCTCCACGAAATTATACAATCAACGAAATTATAGGCTCCACGAAATTATACAATCAACGAAATTATAGGCTCCACGAAATTATACAATCAACGAAATTATACGCACGACTCAACACCTTATCTAAGTACGCTTCTGAACACCAAAACCGTCTTTTCCCTTCGAAGGCGGAGCTTAAGCGATGCGCGACGAAATCGACGCAAACCGTTGCCCCAAGAGAGTGTTTTAGCTGTATTGTATAAGCTGTGGTACTATCTTGACAACAAAACAAAATGCATGAAAACGCGGGTTTTCCAGACAACATGCAGCACTTTAACAACGTGTGTAAAATTGTGGACTATGATTGGACGCGTTGCAAAAACGAGTTTTGCACTGAACTGAGATTTTTAAACCGTATTTTTTCGTGCTAAAAAGTGAGTTACGTCCAAAATATTTGAATACAATATAGATATTTACTGGAGCAACAAGATGGCGTGCTTGTCTCATTTTTGGTATTTTCCTCAAAAGGCGAGTTTTAATAAATACGTATTAATAATAAAGACGTATGGAATTTTAACAACGTCTTTCTGTAAGGAAAGAACATATAAGCTAGAAATAATAGAAGTACCTACTAAAAATACTAATTATCAACAGAAACAATTAATTTGATTTTAGAAAGAAAAACGCATATATTAAAAAAGTTATTCCGATTAAACTAGTTGAATTATTCTTTTATTAAATAAATAAAGGAGGGTATCGTTTTTTGGGTTTTTTCGACCCCGTGCGAAATTTTTCTCACTAAACGATATTAAAAATAAAATGTATTTCCCAAAATTTTTTTCTTTAAAACGTCCCGGAACATATTTTTTTTTAATTTTGAAATATCTTTTTCGACATAATTACAAGCACGGAGGATTCGGCAACATGGCGGCCGGCTGTCATAAGGGTTGATATTTAACTCGTGGCACATGTTTATCAAGTGATAATGTATTAGTTAATATGTGTTTCACAATTTGTACATGTAAGTCGCAGAGAAATATAAACTTATTAACCCAAACATAAAACACAATTCGTTCTAAATCTAGTGTTTATTTTAACGTTAAATAAAAGCTTCAGTAGGTCCTGCCAGTATTGAGATACAGGATACAGTTAATAAAAAGCATTTTAGTTCTACATTTAGTTCTACACCAGTGGTCGCCAACCTGTCGATCGTGAGCTACCGGTAGCTCGCGGAGACAATTCTGGTAGCTCTCACAACGATTTTAATTTAAAAAATACAAACTGCAAAAATCAGAGAAGCTTTCGAAAATTCCACAAAAAAATCTAATTGTCATAATATTAAACATAAACAGCGGCAACGTTGCGGTGAGCGATCTGCCGCTGACGCCATCAAGCTAGAATCGGCTAGAACCGACCAGCCGGACCAGCGCGTTAGTGTTCGAGAACGATCAGGATTGCTTTGAACGGGATAAATACGCACGGCGAGGCGACATTGCGCTTAGTTTAAAACTGATCGCGTAACTAACGTCCAGCGGTTGAGTTAGTAGAGAACAACAAAAAATAATATTATGGCAAGCAGTTGTAAGAAGGTAATGGGAATGGGAAGAACAATACTTTTTTACAGAAGTTAAAGATAAAAATGTGTGTTTGTTATGTAATACTTCGGTCTCCGTTGCTAAAAAAGGAAATATTGAGAGACATCATAAAACTGTACATTCTAATTTTGAAAAATCATTCCCACTACATTCTGCCGCCAGAAAGGAGAAACTGAAACAGTTAAAAAAGCAGTTAATTGGACAACAATCAATATTTTTAAGAACAGTCGACAAAAATAAGGCTGCAACTGAAGCATCGTACCGTGTGTCCCAGATAATTGCACAAAAAAAGAAACCTTATGAAGACGGGGAAATGATAAAATAGGCGTTTTTAGAAGCTGCTGATTCGTTATTTGCCAACTTTAGAAATAAAGACGAGATTGTTTCAGCTATAAAATCTATGCAACTTTCTGCTAATACAGTGATGAGACGTGTAGAAGTAATGAGCAATGATATTTTTTTACAGTTAAGAACTGACTCAGATAACTGTGTACATTTTTCACTTCATCTGGATGAATTAACAGATGTCGTTGACACTGCCCAGATGGGCGTGTTCGTCAGGATGGTTTTCAGTGATTTTATGATTAAAGAAGATCTTTTGAAGTTTATTCCACTGAAAGGACACACTACTGGACAGGAGTTGTTTTCTCATTTAAAAAATATTATTTCTTCCGAGAAAATTCCAATATCGAAAATGGTAGGCTTGACAACCGATGGCGCTCCAACTATGGTGGGTTGTGATAAGGGTCTGGTGGCGTTATGTCGTAAAGATAAAACTTTTCCGCAATTTCTCTGTTACCACTGCATTATCCATCAGCAAGCATGTATCAAATTATACTGCAAACTTTAAAAAAATTATCGATGAGTCTGAGTGTCAGCCTTCTCATTGAACGTGCTTTTTTATTTTTCATTGTTTATGTTCATGATAGTGCGTTACTTTTTTGTTGTTATTATTAACTATTTTTAAATCTTACGTGACATGCCGTTGTGGCTGGATAAAAGTTTGTGTTTATTTTTCAAACACCTTCGTTTGGTAGGTAGGAATGTAGCTATGAACAAGTACGTACTAGTAATATTAGTTATTTTGTTATTAGTTTATTATTAGTACCTATGTATTATGTATTACCAGTTAAATAGTAAAATAAATTCATATAATAATAATAATAATAAACCGTCTTTATTGATAATTTTTCAAAATATTACAAAAATTTTAGCAATGGAGCGAGATTTAGCCATAGGCTATTCTTCCATCTAACTCCTCTTAATTTAAAACAGAAAGTATTAAGATATATTAAAATGTTTAAATGTTAAAATACAATACACAAATAAGGTTAAAACAGTAGAAAACATATAAAAACAATAATAAAAGTAGTAGAATTAAAATAAATTTAAATTTTAAATATAGGAAAAAACAAACGTATTAATTGTTGGCTTGCTGTTGGAGTAGGAGTTTTTTTAGTTTGTGTTTAAAACTTGATCGAGAATAAGTATTTTTTAGCTCATCGTCTAGTTCATTATAAAGTTTAATGGCATTGTACGTAAAACTTCTAGCAAAAATAGCAGATGTGTGTTGTGGCATTGTTAGTGTAAATTGTCTGCGGATATTTACATTGTGAATCTGATTACGAGAAATTAATTTAGTTGCCAAATATGGTGGATTTTGAGATTTTAGTATATTGTGGACAAAAGAGAGAAGATGATATTTAAATAAGTTTTTGATGTTTAACCATTGCAGCTGCCTAAAATATGTTGAAATGTGATCATATTTGCGCAACCCATAAATAAAGCGACAGCAGGTATTTTTAATTTTTTGCAGTCTGTTCGAAGTTACTAAATCTAAACAAGAATAGTAAATTACTATGCAATATGATATTTTACTCAATATTAGAGTTTCGCAAAGGTATTTTTTCATTTGTTGTGACAATATATACTTATTGGCAAATAATAATTTTAATGTTAAATAACACTAAGAAGAGAGGTTATTCACATATTCAATAAACCGCATGTTCTCATCTAAAAGTAAGCCTAGACTTCTAGCTACATTTACACACGGGACTGTATCGTCATCAATTTTAATTGACATATTACTTTTTATGCTTGAACGTGAGTTGGTATTCGAAAATAAAATTAACTTAGATTTAGAAGCATTCAAATGCAAGTTATGGTTTACAGAATATGTGTTTATTCGTGATAAATCAGCGTTCATTATATTCTGTGCTGCATTAGAGTTATTATCATCATCAAAAGTGTGATGTAATTGAGTATCATCAGCAAAAAATTGGACCTTGCACGTTTCTATTTGTTTGTTTAAATCAGACGTATAAATAAGGAATAGCAAAGGCCCTAGAATGGAACCCTGCGGAACTCCAGATTGAATTGATAGGAAATTTGATGATTGACTATTTAGTAAAACTTTTTGCGAACGATTATTAAGATAAATTAACTGTGGATTATTTCATTTTCGTTGCGTTACGTGGCTTCCGTGTGGGTAGCTCGCTGTTTATTCCAAAATTAACAAAGTAGCTCAACACATTGAGAGGTTGGCGACCACTACTCTACAGTATAGGTTTTTTAAACAATCAAGAAATAAGCTCTCTTACCTGATGATCTTGGCCTTAAATCTTCTTGGTAATTATGCCACATTTCGGTTTGTTGTTGAAGTTGGGTAAGTGGATTGGTCTGGAACAAAATGAGAAAAAATATCAGTCAATTTGAATACATAATAATAGAGTTTATTCAATTTAAACAACCTACGAAATAATCACAAAACCGTCACTCCAGGATAGCTATTCACTAAGTCATGGGAGCGCTCCCATGGGAGTGCTCCCATATATTTTGCTCTCTTACTCTTAGGTGGGTATATCGTGCTTACTCACTTTTAGCCCAGGTACATGCGTAGTAAGGTCAGATTTTATACTATGGGAGGGAGAATTGCGGGCTTGCCAGATTAGGTCCGTATTTATCACAAAGCAAATTTGAACTACTAAGGGCCGATTCCATCGTTGAGTTAAACGGAGATTAAAATGACATTGTTAATGTAAAAATGTCATTTTAAACTTCGTTTAACACAACGGTGGATCGGTCCTTAAATAGTAGATCAAAGTTATTCTGTCGACTTGGCAACGTTGGCATGGGAGTATGGGAGCATGGGAGTGTGGGAGTGCTCCCATGAGTTAGAGAATAGGTATCCAGAAGAGATTCAGCTTGTATTGTGATCTTATACAAAGTTCAAATTTCTCAAAAAATGTAAAATAAAATCTTCCAAAAGAATTTATCTTCATTTAAAAAAAGAATTAAATTAGCTTAAATAATAATTTGTATAAAATTGACGTGAAGCGGCAAATCGCAAAACACAGTAATAGGGAAAATATTATACATTTAATTGATGTTACCAATTTCCGCAACTTGTTGCTTTCTAAAAGCCAAAGGGATCGGAATTCCCAACTCAAACTTAAATGAAATGCCGGGCGAACAGTGCCGGAGGGGAAAAAGTAAATATATATCGGTATTTTATCGAAAATATTATTCAATTTTTGTTATTCATTAATAACCTTAATAGTAGTGAAAGAAATATGAAAAAAAAAAAAGTGAAATAAACATAAACAGTGATGAATTAAGACAAGCAGAAAAAATGAAGTAGGTAGATAGGAGCCATAAATACACGTGAAAATTAGATGAATAAATCACAGTATCAGCAACAGGAAAGTTCTTAAGAGGGAAAGCCCACTCACGCGATATATCGCGCGCGACTGATCGCGCGAGGCAATACTTTTGATGTTTTTAAATGACTCAAAGCCCATTAACGCGGTTCTGTCGCGTAGTCGCACGCGGCTAAGAGTCATTTAAAAACATCGTAGAGTATTGCCGCGCGCGATGCCTCGCGATCAGTCGCGCGCGACATGTCGCGTGAGTGGGTTTTCCCTCTAAAGCGTTAAAATATTACCAAAGTTAAAGTTTGAACAATTTATTTAATAAAAAATACTACTACATGTATTTATTTGAGTAAAGCAATCGAAGTGCGCCGTAGCACCGTTGAAGAACATTGTTCAAATGTTTTTCAAGTCTCGTAAATTCATCGAAATAAAGCTCTAAATTTTTTTCTAAACATTCGATAGGAATGCTCTTTCTAGAAATACATAGGTTAACATTAGATTTTAAAATATCTTTGAATTTATTATTACAAAAATTTATTAGCCTCAGTTGTCAATTCCGGGTATTCTGTTTTTCTCTTTAACCAAAAGGTATCCAAATTAACAGACTTGAATTCCAAGTGTAACATCCCATTGGCAGATAATTCTAGCAGATTCTCTTTGAGCTTAGTTGGCAAATTAACCTCATTTAAAAACGAATTTAAGATCCACCTCTGCCCAGGGCCGTCGAGAGCCAGACCAGGCCCCAGGACAATTCTTCAAATCGGGCCCCGCGACAATTTTTATAAAAAATGAAATAACAAATTTCTTTAAGCTAATCATCCACTTGAATTTTTCTAAAAAAAATGGTATTCAAGCAAAAATTTCTCTTCTTAAATATCTACAAAACAAAAAAGGTCCTCAACGAAGAACTTCCCCCCTCTTCTGTCGAACTTCTGAAAGTAACAAAAAGAGTAACAAACACCACCGCTGCCGGGCCCCCATTTGAGTCCGGGCCCCGGGAATTAGTTCCTGCTACCCCCCTCTAGTCGGTCTTGCCTCTGCCCATGGTTCTCCGATGTCTATTGCACTGAGAAGTAATGACACAATTCTTCTTTCAAATTATTTAATATCATTTTCACACCAGGTATACCAGAGGGCCTTGAATTTAAAATTTTTAAATCGTTTTTCCCATATAAATTTAAAACGGCATATGCGATTTTGCTGAAATTTGGTATATTGGTAGAGTTTTATGTGGCAAAAAAATGGTATTAAAATTTTGTCCGATAATAATACATAGGCGTAGAACTTGATTTTTTAAATAATTGCACCTTTAAAAATTCTACGCCAATGGAAGAAAAGGAGTTTGAGCATAAAATTTAGATTGCGCAACTCATTTACTTTAAAAAAGGTACTCTTGATAAGACTCGATTACTCTCATGGTTTTGACGAAATTTGCATTTGAGTAATTTTAGAACTTAAACAATAATTATTAAAATACAAACTTTGTTAAAACCATGAGAGTAAATCGAGTGTTATCAAGGGTACTTTTTTGTGGTAAATGAGTACCCAATCCAAATTTCATACTCAAACCCCTTTTTTGCCATTGGCGTAGAATTTTTAAAGGTACAATTATTTAAAAAATCAAGTTCTACGCCTATGTATTATTATCGGACAAAATTTTATACGATGAAAAACATAAAAATGTACTTTTTTCATATCTTCTTCAACACCTCTAATCGAGAGTTTTAACAAAAATACTCGATTCTTGCCATGTACGATTTTTTGAGGAATATTAATTATTTGCCTGCAATACGTATACAAAAACATTTATTGTTGGTTTCCATAGTTTCATCTAAATAAAAATATTGTCAAGTTTTAACACCTAATCTCTTATTAACGATTGAAAGTGTTCTATCTGACTCAATAATTAAAAAAACAAATGCGTGGTTTATTAATATGGCTGTACAATATAATAATAATAATAATAATAAAACGTCTTTATTTGTACTATAATAAATAAATACATGAGTACATTTGCAGGGCGAGATTTAGCCTGAGGCTATTCTTCCACCTAACCCCTTCTTTAAATATATGATAAAGAGTTTTTATAAAATACATTAAAGAGATAAAATAGATACTTAAATTACATAAAGATATATGAAATACAATAAAATTCAATAAAATACAATAAAATACAATAAAAACAATAAAACCAATAAAATACAATAAAATAAATAAAAAGAAAACATTAGCAAAACTATTATAAAAGAAAATTTTTACAATTTTAAAACTTTTAAAACTTTTACTGGCCTTGTTGGTGGAGTAGGTCATACTTTACCTTGCGCTTAAATGTACCAGACTGTAAACTTTTTATATTAATGCTCAATGAATTAAAGTGTTTGACGGCATTGTATATGAAACTTCTTTGAAAAAGGGAAGTAGTATGTCTAGGCATAGATAATGTTATTTGCCTTCTAATATTTAGATTGTGTAGCTGTGTTCGATAGATCAACTTGTTGTTAAGGTATTCAGGACCAGATGAGTTTATTAGATTATGGACAAAAGCAAGTAAATAATAGATATATAAATTTTTTATATTTAACCATTCCAGTTCCATGAACGACTCTGAAATATGATCATATTTACGAAGACCATAAATGAACCTGCAGAATACCAATGCAGAATATACCGATATGTTACTGACATTAGAATTTTGTAAAGGAAATGCTCGAGAGAGTGTCAGGGTGTACTCTAAAAGGTTTCCAAATTATCGTGTACCTAGCCACCCAACTTTTGCTGCTGTTGAGAGACGTCTTCGGGAGACCGGTTCCTTTGCTCCCAACACTGTTGATAATGGAAGAGAACGTTTTGTAAGGATTCCTGAAGTTGAAGAAGACATTTTAGAACGTGTTGAAGAAGATCCAGAATTAAGCACCAGACGAATTGGAAGGGAACTAGTAGTAAGTAAAGATGTCGTTCATAAAGTGCTTAGAGAACAGTTGCTATATCCATACCATAAAAAGCAAGTACAAGAATTATTAGTCCATGATCCTCAAATTCGTTTGGGTTTTTGTCGATTTGTTAATATGCAAAGAGAAAGAAATCCAAACTTTGTCAAGAAGGTTCTCTTTACCGATGAAGCGGGTTTTACAAGAAGGGGTATAACTAATACCCATAATGAACATGTTTATGCCGTTGAAAATCCGCATGCAATAAAGGTAAACCATTTTCAGCACGAATTCAAAATTAATGTGTGGGCTGGAATAATTGGTAATTTCATTGTTGGTCCTGTCATACTTCCACGAAGATTAACTGGAGAAAATTATTTGGATTTTCTACAAAATACGTTGCCAGAATTGTTAGAAGATTTACCTCTCCAACTTCGAAAAATATGTGGTTTATGCAAGATGGAGCTCCATCACATTTTTCTTTAAACGTTAGAAACCACTTGAATGAACAATATCCACACAAATGGATAGGCAGAGGTAATGACGCACCTGTAAACTGGCCACCACATTCCCCAGACCTAACATCGATGGATTACTTTTTATGGGGACATCTGAAATTCACAGTTTACAGGGAACTTGTAGAAAATGAGGAACAACTCTGGCAACGTATTCAAGATGCAATAAACAATCTTAGAGGTGATGAAGAAGTTATGGAAAGGATACATTTTAATTTTCTTCGACGTATAAATCTTTGTATGCGTGAAAATGGTGAACATTTTGAACAATTTTTGTAAAATGTCTATTTTGATTATGTTGTAAATAAATATTTTTGTGAAACCTATACACTCTAAATTATTAAAACAGAAATTTAGCGAAAACCATGAGAGTAATCGAGTCTTATCAAGAGTACCTTTTCTAAAGTAAATGAGTTGCGCTATCTAAATTTCATACTCAAACTCCTTTTCTTCCATTGGCGTAGAATTTTTAAAGGTGCATTTATTTAAAAAATCATGTATTATTATCGGACAAAATTTTATTACCATTTTTGTTGCCACATAAAACTCTACCAATGTACTAAATTTCAGCAAAATCGCATATGCCGTTTTAAATTTATATAGAAAAAACGATTTAAAAATTGTAACTTCAAGGCCCTCTGGAGCCCAAACTAATCAACTTTGTACTAAGGTAATTTTACTTAAATCGACTTATTTTGGTCTAAGGAATATGTGGTATGTTTTTGTAAAGACCTTTTACAGACATCCTGTATATTTTAAAACTATTTCTTTTATTTATATTAACTTTAACAAGCATTGTATAATAATAGTCTGAGAGGCTTATTCAGTTATTCATTTAACAATAGAAGTAAAATTGTACAAAATAAACGATTGAAACAACTTTTGTGTATTAATCCTCCCTACCACCTTACACAAAATTACTATTTGTTATTTGAATTACTACAAAACACGAAATGATTACAACAGAAGGGTACAACACCCATTAATTTATACAGACGAATGTATCGACTAAATTTCAATTTGATTAAGTTATCGACCCAATTTGCAGCTATATCCCGCGAAATTCCCAAATGTATAATTTCGTTTAATGACTTTGGGTTCCGGAAATTTGGCGTTGGCATTATATCGCTACTAATTTGCATGCAGTTGATTAATTTTTTTATATAGGTACATTTTTTCGTCTTAAACTATAGTCTATTTTTATGTATGAGAGAGTATTAAAATAATAAAGCGTTCGTAATCCATAGGCGTACCACTTCTTTTAGTAGACAGTTAAAATATTTTTTGAAGTTATTCCTCGAGTATACACTTATATTTTCACCTAATTAACCTGCTTATAACTTCTAAACAGCTGAAGGTAAAAAAGTGCAATTTTTTCTAAAATGTTTTATTTTTCCACAAGGTATATTAAGAACATTGTGTCAAACGGGTTATGTAGGTATAAGGGTTTAAACTATGACTTTTAAACAACGTTACGTTCATAAATAAATAATTTTAATATAAAAACTACTTCTTACCTACAAATCCAAATCAGAAGATGAACTGTCGCAACCAATATTTACAATGAGTGGCTCGATCATTTCATCAGTAATATTGTATAACTTCCACATTTTCTCTTCTTTAATCGTATAATTTACTGCCTTTTCCCAGTTTTCAGGCTTCACATTATTTACAGCCTCCAAAAACAACTGTTTAACATCACTCATTTTAAAAGAATTATTTTTTCTTGAAACTTCTCCCTTTATCTGTGCCCATATCAGTTCAATCGGGTTTACTTCGCAATGATATGGTGGTGATCTAACCACCGTCATCCCACAATTTTTTGCAATTTCATCAATTTCATATTTTTTGAATTTCTCTTTATGAAGGGAACACAAATGATACAGTTCTTTTCTCACAGAACTGGGATGGAACTTAATATTGTTTGAATTTAGCCAATTCTGTAAATCTTTTTTTAACCACTTGGTTGTGGGCATTTTTTCTGTAAGTCTCGAGTGATAACTTGCATTATCCATTACTATTATACAGTTCTGAGGAAGAAGATCTATAATTTGTTCGAACCACTCTTTAAAGACATCAGCATTCATGTCTTCATGGTAGTCACCGGTACGAGTAGATTCAAAAGTCAATAAACCACCTTTAACAAAACCGTTTGAACTACCGATGTGTACTATTATTAGTCTGCGCCCCTTTTCTGATGGTTGATTTAAACCAGTAGATAAATTATTTAAAAAAGCCTGTATTCGACTTGTAACAGTTTCATCTTGCCAAAATTTATTTGGTTTATGTCCCTCGTTGATCCATGTTTCATCTAAATAAAATATATTTCTTCTTTGGTTTCTCATTTCTTTTATAGTCCTTAGGTAATTTCTTCTCCATGCTACAATATCGCTTCTTTCTACTAAAATAGACTTTCTGGAATGCTTTTTTCATAGAAAACCTATTTCTTTTAAAAGTTTCCATAGTGTGCTTCGACTCATTTCAGGGTAATCCTTATCATCTCGAACCGTGGCAAGAACTTTGTCTACTGTCGGAAATTCTTTTCTAAAGAAGAACGCATGCACTTTCCTTCGAAGTCTTTCTTTCAAAAGATTTTCTAATTGAAATGTTGGTTTTCCTGAAGCTTTACGTGCTGTTTGAAACTCGCCACATTTCTCTTCTTTAACAACTCTGTAAATCGTAGATTTCCCAACACCAAGCGTACTACTAACTAATTCCACTATGTCATCAACACTTTTACATAATTGTTTGTCTGTAAATGATTTAAAACAATTAAATATTAATGTTTTTTCATTAACTGTTAAAGGACCGATTTTTTGTCGTTTACGCGGCCCTTCCAAATTTTCCATGATCACACTAGAATTTACACTGCACCTTGCAAGCTGCAAGTAAACGACATTTAGTAAACTGTCAAGAATACACTTGGACCTCCTTACTAAATGGAAAATCTATAATCGCATTTTCGGTGAAATTTGTTGGGAAGGTATTTATCTACTTATAATTCGATTACTGTAAGAAATTCTTGGAATTAAAATAAAACAAAATTGGCAAATAGGTACTTATTGAAAATAATCTTAAGATACGGCTATGTAATCTTTAGTACACAGGGCTTTTGGCCTGTCCAAACCTTTTTCTATTGTTCTGTACAGCTTATGTTTATAAAGGACCAATAAAAGACCCAAAACTTGTAATAGCTCAGGTACATTTATTACAATTTTAGGAAACATTTAAATTATTCTGTAAAAATGCTTAAAATGACCGTACTAAGTTTTGCATTAGAAATGCTGTTTTATTACTCTCTCATACATAAAAATAGACTATAGGAAGCGTTTTTGTCCAAATTTACATATAATAATCTTTAGAAATGGACGTTTTTATTTGGCAGTAAGTATACATGGCATTGCAAGAGAACAAATTGTTCGAAATTCATTTATACCTTGTAAAAATTTTTTTTTTACTATAAACCAACCATTTTAAATAATGTTTCAATATAGGATCACTCTGTACACAAAAAATTACAGCAAAACTGTCCGCACCTGCATATATGAGGGGTGGACCACCGGTGTGGGTGCAGGAGGTGGCGGTAGGGGTGAATCCTGATGCATTTTGGCGGTGTAGCCGCCGGCGGCTGCTGCGCTAGCAGCGGGGCCCATCGACGGTGACATGAATTGCTCGCTTCCGTTGATACCAGTATTGGACATCGGAAAGCAGGGCGAGTCCAGACCTGGGCCGCGCATGCCTTGATTGAGAGGAGACTGTAACAAAAAGCACCGCGTTTTTAAAATCTGCCGAAAACGAAATGAAATAACAAAATATAGGACATCGGCCACTGAACGTCTTCCAAATACGCGATAAAACAGGAGCTAGTGAAACTTACAGAGAGTTGGCATTGGAGCGAGTGGAATAGAAATTGTGTCAACCGACCACGTTGAAACGTTAGTCATTCCGTATAAACTGACATCGCTGGTATTGTTCCTTTCCTGCTTGCCCTAGTGCTAGCTCTCTGCAGTTTTTACACGCACTTGTGCAACTTTAATGTAATTTGTAAAATAAAGTTTGTTATATATTTTTATTTGTTCACCTGACAATTGCCTGGCCTGTTGGTTTATATCCAGTGCCACTAACTTAAATAAAAAAAATAAAAAAAAAAACAACACTATTTTCAAGACTCCAATATTCTATTTTAGATATCTACATTAAATTAACTTCACAACTCTTGTTTTGTTATTCCTCCAATTCTATTAGCGACTTTCTTTCTTTCTTTGTGTGTTCCTTCTTCATTTAATAGTTGTTCAGTGATATTTTGGAGTTTAAAAATAATTCTTATCTGATTATAAAAACTAAAGACAATTTGGATTTGATTCACATGTCACTGAACTTATCATAGGCATGACTCGTATATTTGTCGTCAACTTTAGAAACATTAATTCTTTTTTATTTATTAATTTATCTTCCTACAAAAAATACCAATTTCAACAAGATCCTGTAAACCAAATTATAGGCAATTCAGTTCAGAACTTTTAGTAGAGTTATAATTCAAAATATTGCCACATTATTAGCTTGTTAAAACTTAATTTCAATAAATTTAATAAACGGATGACGGCTTTCTCAACGGTAGAAAGGCGATTAGAAATGCAACAAGTGTTTCCATTCTGGCTTTGAATCAATTTTAAATTACTTACCTATAGTAACAGTAAAGCTAACGATTTGATGCAAATATTTTGAGCTTTACAATAGGGAGTTGAATCCCTTTAGGAATACATATCGGACACAATGTTTTAAAAGGTAATGTTAGGAAAATATGAAGATTTAATTGAAACACGACGAGTCAAATATATTAATTCTATTAAAGCCTTTTAGTGTTAAACTTGTATAAAGTTTCATACACTATTTTTTTTTTACAACTTACAATTATTCTTCTTCAATAAATGAACTGCACATATCATTTTAGGAAAAGTTTTTTGTATTTCTAGTTTTCTAAAGTAACATCCTATAACCATTGTGCGTGTATCCTTTATTAAATATAAATTGACACATTTTAACAACTTATAACTCGAAAACGGAAAAAGATATCGAGATGCAGTTTTCACTAGACCTTTTACATTTACTTCAAGTTTTTCTTGACATTTTTGTCACATGTAATTTTTTTCTGGAAAGTACCGAAAAAAAAAAAGAACTTTCTGAATCAAAATTGTGAGCTAATTTTAAATAGAACACCCTATAATTTTTAACATCCTTGGAAAGACCATTTCTTTCCCTTTCTAAAAATGTATTCATTGTAAGCATTTATTCAATTTTTTTGGGAAAAATTTACTTTTTTATGAAACTATGTCGATTTTCAATCTAACTCTTTTTCCCGAGTTCGCGTCAACAATTTTCAATATAGAGGAGATTTTAGCGGCGCTCACTTTCAAATCCTTTTCCACTTCTTTTAAGAATTACTTTGGCAGATAATGCGTATATAGATTTTATTAACGATGCTCAGGAATTCCTAAAAAGCTATCGACTTTCTACACAAACGTGTATTTATCTGGGCTTATCCCAATATTGAAAGACGAAATACTATCCTTATATAAAATCGTTGGTCCTGACTGACTGACTGACTGAATGACTGACTGACTGACTGACTGACTGACTGACTGACTGATCTATCAACTCATAGCCAAAACCAAGTCTAGAAAGGGTACTACAGGAAAAAGCTAATGAATTACACTTTTGTTTGTCTAATATTATTGTAACATCATTTGACACTCCACGAATATACATAGGAGTCCAAAAATATTTGTCTCTACAGGGTGAATCGTAAATAAGTGAGGATATGTTTTTTGATAATTACTTTCATTGTTTTAGAACAGTGGTCGCCAACCTGTCGATCGCGAGTTACCAGTAGCTCGCGAAGGCAATTCTGGTAGCTCTCACAACGATTTTAATTTAAAAAATAAAAAATGCAAAAATCAGAGAAGCTTCCGAAAATTCCACAAAAAAATTTAATTGTCATAATATTAAACATAAACCGCGGCAACGTTGCGATGAGCGATCTGCCGCTGACGCCATCAAGCTAGAATCGGCTAGGACCGACCAGCCGGACCAGCGCGTTAGTGTTCGAGAACGATCAGGATTGCTTTGAACGGGATAAATACGCACGGCGCGGCGACATTGCGTTTAGTTTAAAACTGAACGCGTAATCAACGTCCAGCAGTTGGGTTAGTAGAGAACAACAAAAAAATAATATTATGGCAAGCAGTTGTAAGAAGGTAAAGACATACCACTTTCATTCGGAATGGGAAGAACAATACTTTTTTACAGAAGTTAAAGATAAAAATGTGTGTTTGTTATGTAATACTTCGGTCTCCGTTGCTAAAAAAGGAAATATTGAGAGACATCATAAAACTGTACATTCTAATTTTGAAAAATCATTTCCACTACATTCTGCCACCAGAAAGGAGAAACTGAAACAGTTAAAAAAGCAGTTAATTGGACAACAATCAATATTTTTAAGAACAGACAAAAATAAGGCTGCAACTGAAGCATCGTACCGTGTATCCCAGATAATTGCACAAAAAAAGAAACCTTATGAAGATGGGGAAATAATAAAACAGGCGTTTTTAGAAGCTGCTGATTCGTTATTTGCCAACTTTAGAAATAAAGACGAGATAGTTTCAGCTATAAAATCTATGCAACTTTCTGCTAATACAGTGATGAGACGTGTAGAAGTAATGAGCAATTATATTTTTTTACAGTTAAGAACTGACTTAGATAACTGTGTTTATTTTTCACTTCAACTGGATGAATCAACAGATGTCGTTAACACTGCCCAGATGGCCGTGTTCGTCAGGATGGTTTTAGTGATTTTACGATTAAAGAAGATCTTTTGAAGTTTATTCCACTGAAAGGACACACTACTGGACAGGAGTTGTTTTCTCATTTAAAAAATGTTATTTCTTCCGAGAAAATTCCAATATCGAAAATGGTAGACTTGACAACCGATGGCGCTCCAGCTATGGTGGGTTGTGATAAGGGTCTGGTGGCGTTATGTCGTAAAGATGAAACTTTTCCGCAATTTCTCTGTTACCACTGCATTATCCATCAGCAAGCATTATGTGGAAATTTCCTGAAACTAAACAACGTTATGAAACTGGTGGTAAAAATTGTGAACAAGATTAGAGCTCAAGCGTTACAAAGATTATTCAAAACCTTGGCCGATGAAGTTGACTGTCAATACGGTGACCCTATGACAGCAAATATCATGTAGAAATAGTTTCTACCCTGAAGAATAACTTCAAAAATCGTTTTAAGGATTTCAACGAAATGGCTTTAGTAGCGCAGTTTGTTGTTTCACCCTTTATGGAAATTGATATCCAACAGTTTGCAACTTGTGTTATGCAGAACTTTGGCGAAGACATCGCTGCAACAGAAATGGAAGTAATTGAGTTTCAAAATGATTTAGCCTTAAAATCGTTAGTCTCAAGTACCAAATGTATCTGGCCTATTGTAAGTAAAGACAAATATTCAGTTCTATGCCGTGTTGCCTTGAAAGTGAAAGCATTATTCAGTTCAACCTATTTGTGTGAATCTTCTTTTTCTAATATGAAGTTTATTAAGAACAAATATCGCAATCGACTTACAGATGAACATTTGGATAATTGTATTCGAATGGCTGTATCAAATTATACTGCAAACATTAAAAAAAATTATCGATGAGTCTGAGTGTCAGCCTTCTCATTGAACGTGCTTTTTTATTTTTCAATGTTTATGTTCATGATAGTGCGTTACTTTTTTGTTGTTATTATTAACTATTTTTAAATCTTACGTGACATGCCGTTGTGGCTGGATAAAAGTTTGTGTTTATTTTTCAAACACCTTCGTTTGGTAGGTAGGAATGTAGCTATGAACAAGTACGTACTAGTAATATTAGTTAATTTTTTCATTAGTTTATTATTAGTACCTATGTATTATGTATTACCAGTTAAATAGTAAAATAAATGCATATAATGATAAATTAACTGTGGATTATTTCATTTACGTTGCGTTACGTGGCTTCCGTGTGGGTAGCTCGCTGTTTATTCCAAAATTAACAAAGTAGCTCAACACATTGAGAGGTTGGCGACCACTGCTTTAGAACATTTCCACATCGAAGGAATTGTATTGGATTTAAGACAGATATTTATCAAAATAGTTAGAGGGCGAGCTAATACTGCTGAACAATCTTTTCAAATGAACGCAGGAATATGATCCGGTCCTGTGGCACTTTTAGGTTTAATGTTTTTTAAAGTATCCTGGACCTGGGTTTCAGAAATATGAGTTATATGAAGCTGAGATGGCTGGACGTCCTTTAATGATATGTTTGAACCCTTGGAAGCGACGTAAGATTATCCAAAATATTCCGCAAAGCTTTCTACTATTTCTGTTGGATTATTTAATGTTTTATTTTCAAAACTAATGGTGCTTGCGACTTTACCTTGGCATTGTTTATTATTAACATGTGCCAAAAAATTTATTTGAATTTATTGAGATTTCAGATTCATGATTTGCTATGTAATTTTTATAAGCTTCAGATACACGAGTTTTAATTTCAGCTTTGATGAGCTTAAATTCTTGAAGAGCTTGAATATGATTCTCATTCTGATATATAAGCGATGATGTTTAGATTTTTTCTGAAGTTTCTTAATAATAGAACCATTAAACCACGGTTATTTTAGCAGTTTTCGTTTTCTTTAAACTTTGATAAAAACATTTTAGTAGCGATGTTTGTTTA